TGCCCATTCCAAAGAGAGGTGACCCAACAGAATGCAGAAATCATCGGACAATCTCTTTGATATCTCAAGCGAGTAAAGTTTTGCTAAAGGTCATACAGAAACGGCTACAATCATACATTGGTGTCCTAGAGCTGCCCAAACAGAAATACCACCAGGAGGCGGTGTTAAAGGACAGACTCCTGTATCCGAATTCAGGGTGTCGGTTTGGGTCCTCGTGCCTCCTCCCTCTCTGTTTCCTCACATGTCTCCGGGTGTATGCTGCTCCTAGCATTCCGAGGTGACACCTCATTAACAGAACAAAAATAACCCTGTCCCCAAATCGGATCACGTCCTCTGGTTCAGGGGTTAGGACTCCAATACGTATCTTGGGGGACCAATTCAGTCCCTAACATAAGTGGTCATCAAGTTTACTTAGTCTGCCCCTACCTGTGACCTCTTGTAGCTGTTGGGATAGTTTTGCCCTCGGCAGTTTGTTGTCCTCGATTACCCAGGAGGAAAACCAATTGGATTTGCCAAGTCAGCTGGCTGGAAGGGTTACCCTGGTAGTTTCCACCTGGGCTCAGGTGCCTCAGCCCCTCCGCCCGCCTCCCCTCCACACTGCTGAGCAGCCTTCCTGATACATCAGTAATGCTCAATGCCTGTCTACATTCCAGTGCACACTCTTGTAACTTCCTACAACATAATACTCAGGGGGTGCTGTCCTAGGTGAGGCCTGGCAGGGAGACATCAGCCGGGGAAGGTCCCTGGGTGGAGTAAATGGTTTGTGCCCAGCAGCAATGTAGAAGACAGACCTGGGATTGTGCTCCCAGTTCAGATGAAAACCTTGAAGGGAGCATAGTTTTACTCTGACACACGGGTTCGCCATGAGGTGGGGTAGACCCCAGGGACATGACCTGTGGTGAGCATTTGGCCTACTGGAATGGACTGATCCCTTGAGCCAAGGACAGAAGGACAGTTATGGGGAAGATGGAGGCTGCTCCGGAAAGACATCATGAAGGGACAAGAGGCAGAAAGCAGGCAGTGTGGTTGTCGGCAGTTGTGTTCAGAGAGAGGAGAGGACAGCCTGTTATGTCTGGCGAGGAGTTGCTCAGCCCTGTGTCCTGCTGCTGACTGCCCCCTTCCTGTCCCTGAGCAGTGGCCGGTGTGGCAGCCATTAGCCCTGCCCTGGGAGGCACCTACGTTGACCCCACGCCCGTCGCCAGCCACGTGGTCAGTGCAGATGCCATCGAAGGTAAGAGCCTGCTGGTGGGCTTCCCCCTCCCCAAGAAGGAGATGCCTGGAACTGGAAAATTCCTGCTCACTCTCAGGAGGGTTGTACCCTTAGTACGGGGCTCGAGGGGAGAGGTCCACAGTAAGCCCGCCACTCCACAGAACCACTTACGGCTTTACGTTCGCTCCCGAGTCCTACGGTCACAGTCCACAGCTTTTCCCGCCAACGCTCAGGCAGCCTTGTTCCCTGGCCTCCTGGGTCCTTGGGATGCAAGGAGGGTATCCCAGAAGCTACTGCCGAGAATTTGGACTTTGCCGAATTCACCATGGGGTGTGGTGTAGGTCCGGTGCCCACTGTCTCTCTTCCTCTGACGTTTTCCTCATAAGATGTTGCTGTTCCGAGGGTGCTAAGTTGATATGCCCTGCGGGGGAGCAAATGGTTTCTGCTCTACTGAGGAGCTCTGGGGCGGCTGCTGTAAGTCAGTGGTTCAAACTCACCAGCTGCTCCTCGGGAATGCTACCCAGGGTTGCTATGAGTCAGAACTGACTCGACAGCACTTAACAACAAAGAGTCCTGGCATGGCGCTGCAGGATAAGTACTAGACCACAAGGCGGATTTGAACCGACAATTGAAATACGTCAGCTCTTCCTCAGAAAGTCTATACAGGGTTGCTATGAGTTGGAAGTGACTTGATGGCACTTCACCACCACCTCCAACCTAAAGGTTCAAACCCACTGTGTGGTCCTGCGGAAGAAAGGTCTTGCAATCTGCTTCTGTCTTAAAGCTGACAGCCAGGGACGCCCCCAGTGGAGCAGCCCTGCTCTGCAACCCAGGCCCCCAGTGTTGAGGGCCCACTCTGACCACAGACAGGTCTGGGTTTAGGTTTTGTATATGGATCAAAGCAGGTTCACCATGTTGGCCAACCATCATCATGTCCCCACAATTTCTCTTACTTCTTGAGACGTTTTCTAAGTTATCAAGAGATGAAGCAGCAGTGAGCTGTTGACCTCCTGAGTTCTATAACTATAAATGCAGCATGTTCTCTGAGGCCCTCCCCGTTACTCTGGTCTTTGTCATGATGAGATTTAAGTTGCATTTTCCTGTCAGTTTTAATAGTTGCATTTCCCCTTTGCCAATAAAGGAGTAAGGAGGCCTGGGTGGTTTTCAGGAGCCCTTGTGATGCAGTGGTTAAGTGCTGCACTGCTAACTGAAAGGTCATTGGTTCGAACCCTGCAGCGGTTCCTCAGGAGAGCTCTGGAAACATGTAGTCTTGGAAACCCGATGAGACAGCCCTACTCTGTTCTATAAAGTTGCTGAGTCAGAATCGACCCAACAGCAAGGGGTTTGGATTTTTTAATTTGGGGGAATTAAAGGGTGAACAGAGCTGGCTGCTGACTGAAAGGCTGGAGGTTCGAGGCCTCTCAGAGGTACCTGGGAAAGCCTGGTGATCCATTTCTGAGAATTAGCAGGTTCTCAGAGTCAGCTCCGCAGCAGCTGGCTGAGTGATTCTAAGAGGCTGGAGATTCGGGTCAGAGCTGCTGATGTTGGTGGGAAGCGGCTGGGCACCATGTGTGGCAGGTCCTGAAGCCCACACAGTCCAGTGGAAAGCAGCCATGCCCCCCCCCGCCTCCCCCCCCCAAGGGCCGGAGTGCATCCCAGCACTGCAGCACGGTGGCGAGCTGGGGGGTTAGGGGGTGCGGAGCCACTGCCTGCCCTCACAGGAGTGGGTGTGGGCTCAGGGCCGCTAAGTGATGGTGGCGGCGTTGCAGCTCTGACAGCCCACAGCCCAGCCATGTTGGTGCTGAATGACCTTCTGAGGAGGCAGCTGACCCTGACGCAGCAGTTCCTGGAGGCCAACCGGCACCTACACACCTCCCTGCTGGCCTCGCTGGACCAGGATTCTTTCCACTACCACACTCTGGAGGAAGCCAAAGAGGTGAGGGGGGGGGCACGTGTCCAGTCAGCTGGGGGTGCTCAGGCACCAGGACCAGCACCTCACACCCTGTCTGTGGGCCTGATCTCAGCCAGGCTCGGTACTGTGTGATCTTGCGTGTCTTCTCTGTGAGGGGCCCGCTGTCCCAGCATGGCAGGGTGGGCCTGAGGGCTGTCACATTCCTTTCCCCTTCCTCGCTCCAAAATCATACAAAACCACATGTGATGTCAAAAGTGCAAATAGTACTTACTTTAGGGAGTCCCTGGGTGGGGCACAAATGGTGAATGTGTTCAGCTGCTCACAGGTTGGAGGTTCTAAATCTACCCAGAAGTGCCCGAGAAGAGAAAAAAAAGGCCTGGCAACCCCTTATGAAAAATCAGCCAAGAAAAGTCTCTGGAGCACACATGTCGCTGGGAGTTAGAATCCAGTCCACAGCAGCTGGTGAATCTAGGGCCCACTTGTCTCAGCAGTTGTATGTTTTGTTAAAACTTTTTAAACAAGGCAAACAAAATCCAGACTGGTATCTTTTACACCTGACTGGGCAGCAGGTCTCCAGTCAGAGCAGGGTCAGGGCCCAGGGACATGCCCCCAGCCCTGAACCAGCCCCACTTTCTGGGCCACAATGACACACTTGCTGTGACCCTGCCCGTCCCAGGATATGAGAGGCAGGCAGGGTCATCTGGCTATGCTTCTTAGTGGCAGCAGCCAGGCTCCTGCTGCCCTCCAGGCCACCCATGAGTGGTGCAGTCCTTCTAGGACTTGCTCTGAGTGCCCGGGGCAGCCTCACTGCGGCTGTGCCACCAGCTGGCCTGGGAGCCCCATCCGCTTGGACTGATGGCGATGTCTGTGCTCTACCCACAGTACATCCGATGCCACAAACCAGCCCCACTGACCTTGGAGGATGCTCTGGAGCAGGTGCGGAAGGAGCCATGACTGAGGTGAGGCTGGCCCCAAGGGCTTGGCCATGATACTCCATGTGACAAGTTTGGGACAGGCAGGGCCAGGCTTCCTCACTCTCCCACACACCTCTGCAAGTGCTCGTGGACCCCATACCAGCTGGTGGGGATAGCCCGGATGCCCCTGCATCATCACCAAGGCAGAGCCTTTGACTCCAAAGTCTAGTGCACAGAACTCACCCACACCTCACCTGTCAGAGCATGCTTCCAAGAAACACGAAGTATAAGTTCTTTAAAAAAACATCTTTATTTGAAGGCAAAACAGTAAAATCCACAAATTGTTAATAGCATGAGTCTATGTATTATCCTGAATCAGACACTTTCAAACTATTCACAGCTACAGGAAATCTAAAACAAAATCAAATGTTGTATCCCATCTGGGTCAAAAGTTGGAAAGATTTTGCATCTTACTGAAAAGAAGTTTTCAAAAATGGTTCTGTACAAATAAACAGTGCTGCGCTGGGCTGCTGAGGCCCGGCAGTGCCTGGGTGGGCAGCTGGGGGGAACCACTGCAGGTTCTCCAGCATTGCTCCAGCCTGCAAGATGCTTGCTTACGCCTCTGCCTCAGAACCTGCTTCCCAGGTAACAGCCAATGGCCAGTGTTTGAGAAAGAAGAGCAAGTTCTGTAACTGAAAGGACTGAGGTGAGGGCCCGTGTGCCTGAGGGGCAGGTTCCGAGTGATCTCATGGGTCAGCATTCCTGCTTCTAAAACTAAACCACATGGAATAAAAATAAAAACCCGGTTCCGCTTTGGCTTCCATTTTTAGATGGAGAAAGGTGAGCGCACCCGGTCTTGGTTCTTGCCACTGCCTCCTCTCCAGCTCAGCGGACTGGGGAGACGAGCAGCCTCGTGTGTCGTGTGCAGGGAGGTTCTGCCTGGTGCTTCTTGCTTCGCTGTAAGGAAACCCAGAGGCTGGCATCGCCCTGGCAGCACATCCTTGCGTGAAGGAGGCTGCGGGCGAGGCCTGGGCGCTCCACCTCCTCCCAGGGACAGGTGGGGTCAGAAGCAGCTGTCAGGACCATCCCGGAAGCTTCCCCCGCCCGCCCCTCAGTGGAAGGCTCCGGTGGATGTGCTGCAGCGGTCACTACTTGCACTCGTCCCTGGCCTTCATGCGGGCGATGAAGGAGTAGCTCTTGTTGCGACGGTAGTTCTCGTAGGGGTCGTCCAACGCCACGCCCACACCCTTGTACTGGTCCCACTTGTCTCGCACGTCTCCGCCCTTGATGGGGTCCTGGATGCCCTGCTCCTTCGCGCCGAGGCCACCAGATCCGCTCCAGCCTGGACAAGAGGAAGTGGACATGCAGTTACAAAAACACTGTTACAGATGCACATACCCAGACCTGCTAACCATGCAGCTCATGATGTGGCGCTAAAGCTGCAGAGACCACCCAGCAAACCCACCACCGCCCCTTTTGCAGCTGGTCCAACCACATAGGGACCCCACTACAAAGAGGTGCTGCTGACGGGGTCCCGGGGGGTCTTACCCATCTTCACCAGCATCTGGTGTCCCTTGTTCTCCTCTCCTAGCCTGGGGTCGGGGACAGGCGGTGCAGAGTTAGAACCCAGACCAGCCGAGGAACTAAAACCAAGACAGGTTATGGTGTTCATAAAGTCACGCCACCCTTATTGGAACGGCTAGGATGCTACAGCATGTGGCGGACACGAACGTTCACCGTTACAGGATGGACACACAAATATCCCGGATTCCTACTGCTCTTCTTCCTGCCTTTCTTCAGCCTTCCCTCAGAGGACAACCCTGCCCCGCTCACGGGCACCCCTAGAAGGGTCAGAGAACACGCAGCCGGCCACTGTGTAGGTGACTGGCCCGCGGCAGTGGGGAGGCAGTTGCCGTGTACTAACACCCACTGTGAACGTTCACAGTGTGGCCCCCGAGGAGCCAGCTCCACCCACCGGCCACACCACACTTAGGACAAAACTCTTACGGTGGAGTCTGGCTCCGTGACCGAGACCGACGCCTCCTGCCTGGAGAGTAGGACTTGGAACGGGACCGGGACCGGGACCGGGACCGGCTTCTTGAGGAGCGGGACCGGCTTCGGCTCCTGCAGTGGTAAAGTCACAAGTCACGCAGTAGGCACAATGTTGGCACCAAGGGCAGCTGGTTGGAGCCCCGCCTACCTGGAGCGGGATCGGGAGTAGGAGCCAGAGCGGGAACGGGATCGGGAGTAGGAGCCAGACGACTTGGAGGAGCGGGAGTGGGAACGGGAGGACGAACGGCCCCGGCTCCTGGATCTGCTCCGTGACCTAGATGGGCCGCTGTGAGAGAGGGTCGTCAGGCCTCTCGGGGCTACAGACCCCCGAGGAACAGCCCCTCTCTCCCAGGACATGCCCCTGCCCCACAGTAAGGGGCCAGCACCTCACCTGTTCCTCTTCTCCTGGCCCTTCCTCCGCCGGGCCCTCATCTTGGCTCGAAAGAACTCATAGAGGCCATTCTGCTCCCAGCCTTCACTGCAAGACAGGGGGTTCCTGGTGACTGACCTCAGGGGAGGGGACCTGGTCTGTCACACCCGTAGCTGCTTTCAGGCGTGCTGGGCTGTGAGACCCTGTGACAGGTTGGCCCTGACACATGCCAAGTCTACTGAGGTCTGCTAAAGGGGCCAAATTAAACCCACTCAGGAGTATCTGCAGTCTGCCATGTGTGATAGGTCTGGGTGGAGGCAGCGTGGTCCACAGCACCTCCAACCCTCTGCAATGCTCCCATGCAGCACCCTGGCCTGTACCTGTTCCTGGGTCGGTCATGGGATGGGGGGCTATAGAAGGCTTCCACGGCAGCTAGCAGCCTCTCACTAGGTGGCATGGGGGGTGGGAGGCGGATATCTTTAGGGTCCAAAGGCTTGTACTCATGGTCCTCCAGCTGCAGGAAGAACACCCGTGTCACTGGGGATAAGGCCACTGCTGGGTTCCTCATCCTTTCCTTCTTGGAGTCCCGCCCTTCCCCAGCTTCAGGGGCTCCCATGAGACAGAGGACCAAGTGGTCACAGGGTAGGCTGGCTGGTCACAGGGTGTCTCCAGAAGGGCCCCCAAGCCCCATCGTTGGTCCCAGATAGACAGTGGATTTGATGTGTACTTGCAGGTCATTGCTCCCAGCCCAGCTGACCTACCAGAGGCCCCTCAATAGGCCCCAACCTGGCTCCCCACTGTCAGCCCCGTCAACTTTGTCAGGATAGACAAGCTCATCAGGCAGCACAGGGATATGGGCGTAGGCCCCTCGATCTGCCCCTCTGTGCACACCCAGGTTCCAACACAGGAAAGGCATTTTGGGAGGAGGCCCAAAGGCCAATCATGACCATGTACCTTCACAAGGGGGGCCATCAGCCCTGCAGGCAGGTCGAAGTAGGGTACGTTGGGCACCAGACTGGGGTCATCGTGGTTGATGTGTGGGGGCCCCTGCCGCCGCATGTGGGGGGGCTGCCCATTGAAGCCATGTGGGGGAGGTCCGAAGTCAGGGTGTTGGGGCCCACCCCAGGGTGGGTGCTCATTGATCCCAGGATGCGGCATGCGATGACCAGGATGGTGATGTGGGGGCCCCATCTCTGTAAGACAGAAAGCGGCACTGGGGACGGTTCAGGAGGTTCCAGTCCCCCCACCTCCGCCAGGTCCCCTACACTCACCAGCCGGGAAGTCACCCTGCGGGTAGTCAAATCGGTGTGGGTATGGGGGTCGCTCAAATGGGTGCCGTGGGGGGAAGTCATCTTGAATGAAGCGTGGTGGAAAGCGATTGAAGTTGTGGGGATGTGGTGGCTGGCTAAACTGGGGGTGCTGCTGGTGCGGAGGGAAGGGGCCCCGGAAGGGCGGTGGGCGCTGCAATCGAAAGGGTGGCTCGCGCTGGCCACCCCCCCAGGGTGGCTGCTCGTGCTGGTTGTTCCAGGGACCCTCGAACTGGCCGCTCCAGCCAGGCTCAGGCTGCCCGCTCCAGGGTGCCTCACGCTGCCCACTCCAGCCAGGCTCACCGCCGCGCTGCTCATTCCACATGCCCTCGTGGCTGTTGTTCCAGGGTGGGCAGTGGGGTGGTCCGCCCTGGTGGTGTGGGTACGGGGGCTGCTCAGGGGGCTGCAAGGCACAGAGAGAAGGTTCTCGGTGAGGTGAAGCATGGGGAGGGCCACCAGCCTGAGTGGACACCTGTGGCGGGCCTGCTGCAGCCGGCACCAGAGCCAGCACTCCCCGGGGCTCCCAGTGTTCTCTCCTGGGCCACTTCTCACACACGTGATATGTTCCTGAATCCTTGCTTGTTTGGACTGCTACTGGGGAAGCAGAGAGCCACCACCCTGGAGCCAAGGGTCAGAGGAACACACGAGGGGCAGGTGATGGTACAGCAAGGACAAGGCCATCTGCCATCTGCCCTGGGCAGCTCCATCGAGTGCTCAGCTGGTGGAGTCAAGCAGACCTAGAGTCCGCAGTCATGATGAAGGCAGCCCAGAGACTGAACAGCCCCACTCTCCATATCTACAAAATGAGCACTCACCCACGGCTGCTGTGGGGCAGGCACAGAGTTTCCTGATGGATACCTGGGTCCAGCCACTACCCACCCATCCCACTCCTCAACCTGGCCCAAGAACTCTGTGTGTGTGTGCGCACGCGTGCGTGATCAGGAAAGGTGACCTTCTGCCCCGGGAGGGGAGAGATGGTTGTGGCAAGGCCCACAAGGAGATGGCTTACACCCATCCCCCTTCACAAATTCCAGGACAATAGGACCAGTGTGCTGCAGCGCCAAGGGACAAAACATCTCGGCCCTCACATGGATGGGTCGGCCCCAGTAACGCACCACCAGCTCTGCCCCACCAGCCCCACCCAGCTTTCAGACCTGCTGCCACACCTGCCCACCACCCGTGTGGCTATCCCCAGCATATCCTAGCTACCTCCGTAAGTCCCCATAATTACCTGCTGCTGACCCCAGGGAGCCACAGGGTGAGGCTGTTCAAACCAGGGAGTTTTGTTGGGTGGGATCTGGTCATGGGGTC